CCCCCGTGGCTTCCCTGCTCTGTGGACCCAGGTCCTGTCTGCACCTGAGGCGTCTGTTCGCTGGCTCCGGTGGGACGGCCCCACTCTTCCACCCTTCGGGTTCTGCTTTGGTGAGAACCTCCTCCTGGTTTCCTACGTGCTGTGTAGTTCATGAGGTTAGAGAGGACGGGCCACCTCCTGACTGCAGTTCTCAGGGTAGCTAGTGCAGGAGGCTTCGTGTGTGCGGGACGCTCGGTTTCTTCCTGGTGAGGGGGTGAGCGCCCTTCTTCCCTGCAGCAGGCCCCCAGGCACCAGGTCAGAGCCTGTCGGCTGGCGGGTAGGAGGGCCAGGGATGCCTCGAGTGAACCTTCGGGCTCCTGAGGGCCCGTGGAAGAACAAGCAGACACCAGCCTGGCCTGGCCCACTGCGGGGGGTGGGGGGCCCTCCCTGAATTCAAGACGCGCTCAGAGCTGCACACGGAGCCCATGGTCACAGTCGGTGACACCATTCTGGGAACCTGTCCAGAACTTCCCAGGTCACTCCGTCAGGGCCACCGTGCCCTTACGGAAGCGCCTGGCGCCTGTAGACGCTTCACGAACATCTGCTAAGGAAAGGACTCACGCCAAGTAGTGAGTCCACCTTCAGGGCCGATGGCCACCTGCTCACTGCTGCTTCATGGCCTGGGCGCGGCAGACTGTCCCAGCCAAGTGCCACAGAGTGAAGATTTTCGGCGTTGCAGGCCTCTGCCCTTTGGTGGGCAGCAGCCAGAGCAGGGCCTAAGTGCGTAGGTGGGACTCTGTCCCAGCAAAGCCTGTTGGCAGAAGCGGGCAGCGGCCGGGCGGGCCCAGCGAAGCCTCTTGGCAGAAGCGGGCAGCGGCCGGGTGTCCCGTGGGCCGTGGTTTGCCGCTCCCTGCACTAGGCAGGAGAGACTGGGCCCCGTGGAACAGAAGCTCCTGCAGAGACTGAAGCTGGCCATCCCCACGTGCACACACGGCAGCTTCACGGTCTGACCTAGTCCCCTGTGCTCGCGAAGGAAAGCTGCTCTGATCGCCAGGTCAGCATCTCTGTTTGCTGATGGTGCATTTTTTCCCCTAAGCAAGCAGTTCCTTTTCTAGGAATTTAGCCGAAGCATGTGAATCTGTTATAAATAACATCACAGAGTTATTTACCATAGGGAGGGTTCAAGCAGCCCGGGATTGCTTACACAGGTTGGGGTGCACCCAGGGGCTGCAGGACTCATAGTTAGAGAGGCAGACCGAGCCAGTGACAGGGTGCACATTCTGGCTCCGGGAGGGACTGGCTGTGTGACTTTGGTGTGACCTTGGGTGAGTGACCTGCTGCCCCCTTTCTAAGGAAAGGGATGGCTGGCCTGTGCAGTGAAACTCAAAGGGACAGAAGCCCTTCCTGGCCCCTCGGCCACTGCGCCCTCCCTGGAGGCGGCCCTTGTTGGGTTTCTTAGGGAGCCTTCCAGGGGTGGCATGTCACCTGTCACACTGTTGGTCATGGCCTGCGCCATGAGTGTGTGACCCCCGTCCTGAGAAGGGCGGTGCAGGCATGAACCCACACAGGAGCCCCCCCTTGGCGCCTCCCCCAGGAGAGCAGTGCTTTGTATGAGCTGCCCGAGACCCATGAGCCTCAGGGAGCAGCTGTCCTCCTTAGCCCGGGGTGCGGGGGTCAGCCCCCACCGTGCGTCAGCCCAGGCACAGGCTTCAGGGGACTGGGCCCCCTCAGCACACTCGTGAGCCCCTTGCCAGGTCTCAGCCCCGTGGCTCTGGTGTTGGGAACCCTGGAGGAGGCCTGGCGGGATGTCAGAAGGCAGGCGGTCTCCAGGCAGCGCTGGAAGGACGTGTCATTTGCTGTGGCGTGTTTGGCGCCGGGCCCACCCTTCAGTAACTTGCTTTCATTTTTAGTGTGAGCTGGAAAAGCAGCCTCCTGCAGGTATTAAATTTGTACCAAACCCGTTGCCGTCGAGCCTGTTCTGACTCAGGGACCAAAGTACCTGAACTGAGTGATGATTCGGTAACGCACTTCACGTTATCGTCGGGTTATATATTCAGAGCAGAATTTAAAGAAACGGACGTTGAAAGGGCTGTTACTCTCTCTGTCAGTTGCTCTTCTGTCTTTCTTTCCTGAAGGGTTCTTGGTTTGCCTGCACTGTATGCTTTCAGCAACGCTCAGACTGACGAGATTAGAGGGCTTGTCTTTTCTTTTTTAAAGTAGGCGTGTGGCCTTCTACTGGGGTATTTAATTGTGTGACTTTTCCACTTACGTGTGTACCAGCATGGTTAAGAGCATGTCAGTAATGAGTAGCTAGACCCAGAGAACTTGCCAGAAGACTCGTGCAGGGCCCAGTGTGGGCACTCAGTGGCTCCGCCCTGCTGGGACGAGCGCTCACAACTCTGCTTGCTCAGATGCCCTGTGGTGGGCCCGGATGCACCACGGCGGGCTCGGATGTCCCTGCGGCGGGCCCAGATGTCCCGTCACGCGCTCAGGTGCCACGCAGTGGGCTCAGATGCCCTGCGGTGGGCCCAGGTGCCCCATGGCGGGCCCGGGTGCCCTGCGGCAGTCTCGGGTGCCCCGCGGCAGGCCTGGGTGCCTCTCGGCGGGCTCAGGTGCCCCACGGCTGGCCCAGGCGCCCCATGGTGGACCCAAGTGCCCTGCAGCAGGCCTAGGTGCCCCGCAGCGGGCTCAGATGCACCATGGTGAAGGTGAGCTGCGCTTGGAGGTATGAAGGCCTGTTTTAAATTAGCAGATCCACCCTTTATGTAAATACGTAAAACTTTGACTTTACTCAAGTGTTCTGTATGCCTAGAATGGCCATCGACCCATACTACTTTAGTCAGAAAGATACGGGAGGGTCGAGGGCCTCCGAGGACATCATCAGCATCCCGCCTGGCCTTGTGTTTGAGACTCGTGAGTCTTGGGCCTCGAGTTCAGAGACGACCTCGGTGCCGCCTGGCATTTACGGGTGGTCGCTCGTCGTCCCGTTGGGCCGGTGCCCCGTCACCAGCTGAGAACTCGGCCGCGCTTGTGTTTATCGCGGTTCCTGGTGGTAGAGGCAGGGTTGGCACGGCGGGTGGCTGGCTGTTGAATACCTTTTGTTAGTTAGAATTGTAAAGGAAAACACTGACTTTGTCAAAACCATGGAAGGCCTTCTGTGTCTGCCTGTAGGGGGTACAAACTTCCTGTTTGTCCGTCTTGATGGGGAAGTGTAAGAAAGAGAACTGAACATTTTGTTCCCACTCACTGTAACTTGACAAGATACTTTGTGCTTGAATGTTTCCCTGGCCTGACAGCGGCTTCCAGAAGCTTCTGCTGGGTCTGTGGACTGCCTGCTCCCACAGCTCCTGAGTGAGGGCCGTGCAGCTGGGACAGGTGTGCCTGTTGTGACTTTGTCAGCGGAGCTGCTTCTCACCGACAGGAACGTGTTCGTTGCTGTGCTGAACACTTTAGTTTGCCCCCAGATCCGCGTTCTGCCTGGCCTGTGCCGGGGCGGGGGCTGGCTCTGTGGGGTGCTTCATGGCTCCCTGCCCTCTGGCTTCTACATGGGCATAGCCAGTGGGAGAAGGGGGGGTTGGAGTATCCGTCCTGCCAGCTCTGCTCCCCGGCCTCTCCCACGGCTCCAGCTCCTTTGTAGAGTGAGGAAGGATGCTAGAGAATTTGGTGTGTGACAGGGATGCATTAGAAATGCAAAAAATGGACTTCTTTAAAACTGTACAATTACGGATGATTTTAAACAGCATGTAACTGTGACTTTTCTGTCTTCAAGCTGCCAGGCCGGAGGTACGAGCCTGGGTACAATGCTGACGTGGGTGACACGTGGATCTGGCTGAAGTGAGCGGGACCCCTCTGCAGCTGTTCTCCACGATGAAGGAGCTTCCCCGTCCACCTGCCTCTCATGGACCCCATGTAGTGTTAACATTTAAAATAAATAAATGAACCAGGAATCACACAGGAGAAGAAATGACCTAGAAAAAAGCAGTCTGCCCTGTAGTTTGGTTAGTGGAGTTGAAGGGAACAACTTCCAAGTAAGAGGGTTTAGAACTTTCCAGCTTCATCTTAGAATGATCGGTAATTCTCACTGGAGAAAAAAAAGGGTCTGCTCCAAAAGACCTACTGTTAGTGGGAGAATTTCCTTTCCTCCCAGCTGAGCTCTGTATCATGCAAATTTTGTACATTGTTGCTTCAGACTCCCAGAAATAAAGCTGTTTCTATGTGAACGCCTCCCTGTCTACACACAGACACGGACACATCACGTGTATATAGACATACATGCCTGTATTTTCCATTTCCCTGTGGTTTGCTTTGATGTGGTTTGATTTAATTCAGACAATTATTAGGGTTGAGTTTTCCTGAAGTCTTGATTTGATTTGTTTTAGCAATCTAACTGCTACATTAGAGCAAAAAGAAAAAAAAAAGTGAAAACACCAGAAGGAGGAGGAAATTACCTCGGGTTTAGAAAAGAATGTGTTTGTTTCAGAAGAGGCTTTAGAGAAGGCTCACGCGACAGCCTTCATCCGCTGAGCTCAGAGGACTGGAGCTGAGAATGTGGATGGGAGAAAATGCAAACCCACAATAGTACAGTTACTGACTTCTGTTTCTTGGAAGCCAAGCTGTTAATGAGACATGAGTAATGAGAAAGAAAACCGCGTTTCTCTATTCACCTCTGCTGAAATGTAGAGAACAGAAGTAACATGCAAATCTCTTGCAGGCCAGCAGTCGTATTCAGAGTTGTCAGTTCCCGCGGCTATTTACATTTAACCAGAATGAGAGGCAGTATAGTTCCGTTCCTCAGCTGTGCTGGCCACACTGGGAGAGCCCACGGCCGCACGGCAGTGGCTTCCATCTTGGACAGCACGGAGGAGAACGTTTCCTGTTGGGCGGCACTGCCGTAGAGCATGGCTTCAGAAGAGTACACGCTTTGTTTTCTCTTTTAGGTTTTAAGAACTGAAAATAAAGTTTCCCAGCAGTTTTTGAGTTGGCGTCGAGATTTAAGTGGCTGAAGTTTTGCATTTCAGTGAGAAACTAACTGCTTTAATCATTAAATGGAAGTGCGGCCAGGCACTGGGCCAGTCTTGCCGAGTCCTTTGGTCTCAGCGCCTCACAGACCCATTAAGGCAAGCAGGAGAGGAAAAGAAAAATGTCTTTAATTATCTTGGATATTCCTAATGTCTTGGCTGTAATGAGCAAGCTCTTCACGTAACCCTTTAAGCACCTTATTATTTTCTGCTTTGATTTTTTTTTTTTTTTTGATACCATGTGTTTTCATTAATGGAAGCATGCTGAATCATGAAGTGTGTTTGAATTTTTGGATGGTAATATGGATTTTGAGAAATATGTGAGAATACATGGTTAACACAAAACTTTGGGGGTTATCAAACTTCGTAATTGGTGGGTGCCCATCTGTCCCTCTCGTCTCAGGTGGCACGATGTATTTTGGGGCACCTTCGATTAGGTTAGATGGGGAACCTCTGGTTTTCCAAATACAATGAACACATACAAACAAGCCCATCAGGGCTCCCTAACTATCACACAGGAAACCATAAATATGCTTACAAGGCTTATCTAGAGGTACAAAAGCTAAAAAGACAAGTTTTTTATCCAGTCACACTTCCTGGATGCACTACCTCACGTTTAAGGCTCACACCCCACCTGTTTCACTTCAGTGAATGTTTCTTTTGCCTTTCACCATTACACAAGTCCCCACTAGGGGGCAACAAATACTTTTAGCAAGAAAAGGACACTCCCAAGAAACCTGAGAGCCAGAAAAAGTGGGCAGGCAACCATGTAACCCTCAACAGTGGCACTGATGGCGTCCTCTGCAATCAGCAGTGTCCAAGGTGCCGTCAGGGTCACTTGTGAGAGACCAGCCTCTTCTCAGACACATCAATGTGAGCATGACGCAGACCTTGACACCCTGATAGTTCACCCAGAACACCTGCATGGCATGCATACTCATGGTGGACTTTGAGGGTGTAATTTTAGTGCTGAGGATGTTCATCTGTTTGATTTTCTGGTGTGTGTTTTCAGGAGTGTTAGGCAGAGGAAGGCAGGGAAGCACGGCTCATTGTCTCCTCTCCAGACTGACACCCTGTCTGCTTAGAGCAGCACAGGATCTAATTTCACAAAAATGTTTGCAGTCCTCACAGGGAGAGGGGGAAAAGGTTTAAAATAAAACTATGTTCTGGAATATCCCATGTGGGAACATTCAGTGCTTTGATAATCAGGAACTAGATAAGGAACCCGCATTTTGTCTGCATTTTTTCTTATCAGCGTGTATTTATAGGCATGAGGATTTTGTGCTGAAGTGGAAGCGCTCATGTTTTCTAAATTAACCTTCAGTTCTATCAAATTGTATAACCAAATGGTTCTTAGGAACATTTAGCTTCTTAGAGGAAATCACATAGTGTTACTTAGGTGGATCTCAGCAAAACCTGGTCAGCCTCAGTGGACAGCCTTTTATTGCCACAGCCTCTTGAGTCACCCCGCTATTACGTGGTGTCCATGTAGGCTGGGTCCTCATCCTGAAAGTTCAGGCAAGAACACCAGGGGTGCTAAGCCTTCCAGTCACCTTGTGCTTTCATTCAGTTTTGAGTGTTGCAGTGTCTAATGTGACAGGAAGGAAAGAAACCATTGTCTCAACGGTGCTTGTCTCTTCTCAAAGCCCACTGGCCGCTGATGTAACTTGGCTTTGACCGTGTCTTGTTTACCAGTTACGCATTCCCAGGGAGGTTGTTCTTAGCAGCGCATGTGTCATACAGAGAAGCAAGCAGGCAGCTGCTGTCTTGCAAGAAACAGCCTGTGCTCACGCGAGTGCAGTCTGTGCTATTTGGGGGTTTGGCAGAATGGGGATGGAGAGGGCTGCGATGACTGTTGTGCGATGGGGCCCTGAGGAGAAGAGCGTGTGGCAGCAGCCCTGCAGCAGCCAGAGGCGTGAATGGAGCATGTGTGTGCCATTTCTGGTTCTACACTGGGACAGAAATAAAAGCCGGGAACTGGCAGCTTTGGTGTAGGAAAACCACTGTGAGCCTGGAAACGTGTAGGAGGCACTTTTCAGGAGTAACCACCTGTTGCTCAGGAACGTTTCATACTTTTTCAGGTTTTACTAAGGAAATGCCTATTTTAAGTAAAAGTGACTCTTCCAGGACTTGAACCCTGTACTCCAGGGCACCCCTGGGAAAGGAAGCATGAGCAAAGGAAGCTGGAGGGTGGGCAGGAGAGGGTGGAGAACTGGACTGGGTGCTCTGGGCGTGTTGGGGGACCAAGGCTCATTGTGACCTCACTGCTGAGCACCGTGACTGTGGCCTTGGCCAGAGCCGCCCGGCACGGGGAGGGAGCTTCACAGGGCAGATCCCAGAGGGGCATGAGGAGAACACAGGAACAGAAGAGTGGAGTGTGGGATCTCACTGAAGTGGAAGCTCAGCATGGAGCTTCCTTGTACCTCACCCACCCCCAAGTGAAGGCACACCCACTTCAGCACTGTTGTTTTCCTTCTGTTTTTTTCTTATTGAGCCTTATGTGAGCCTTATGGGTGGTGATGACTCCCAGTGAGCAAGAAAGCAGGTTTTCACCTCTGTCCTCTCCTGGAGATGGGAAGAAAGGCTGTCGTTGCTGAAGACTCTTCCTTCAGGCTCTCGGAAGTGAAGACTGGAGTTCTTCCTCGAATGTTGCAGAATAGAGTACACACTCGAGGAAGACCTGGCTCTCCTACACCAGCCACCCCCAGAGCGCAGTGAGGGGAGCTGATGCTGGAACCAGACTCAGCCGTGCTGTTAGGGGGCTGGCACCTTTACTAGGGCCTGCCACAGTCCACAGCCAGGAGAGCAATGGGTGCCCCAGGCTCAGCCCTCTCCCTGTCTAATGCTGCCCTCACTTGCTCCCATCTCAGGGATGGTGTTGCCCATGGCTACGATGTCCATATTTGTTTGCATTGTGTGAAGCTTGCATGTGGTGCTGGGATGACCAGTCTGGAGTCCACGGAGGCTCATACCTCTGAGCTGTGGGTCCTGGGGTCCTCCTGGGGGTTCACACCTCTGAGCTTTCAGCCCTGGGGTCCTCCTGGGACCTCATACCGCCAGCCCTGGAGCCAGCTGTGAACATGGTCCACAGTGCATCAGCAGACGGGTTCTAGAATGATCTTCTTGTTGGAAATCAGTCACTGATGCCTGGAATGGCCATGGCATACATTTCCATGGAGTTCCCCCAACTCCAGGTCCCTCACCTGGAATCTGCCTTTCTCCTGGTTCTTGCCTTCCATCCTTCTACCCTTCCCTGGTGGCTGGCCTGTCACCAACCCTGCCATGTTAGTGGAGGTGCTTTCTTCCTAATGATGGAACACCCAGAGCTCACTGTAGCATCTACCTTTGGAGTCCCTGTGCCCTCACATGTCCCTGCTGCCCATCCCACCTTCTGTCCCTCAGGGTGGAGTCACACTGATGTCTAAAGCCAGCGTTCCTCCCCACGCTGGCCCTTGACTTGGAGCTGCTGACCACCCTCCTCCCTAAGAGCCTCGTGTAACACTGAGTCAGTTTCCCTGGTCTTCTCCCAGCCATCTCCCCCAACACGGGTCCTTTGTCCAAGGTCCCAGAGCCTCGCAGCCACATCATGAAATGCAGTGATCCAAGCATGAGGCCAGCTGTTGACAGGCATGCCTGGAAAGGGAAGGTCTTCAGTGGAATGAATTCTCACCCTTCACCTGTGTGCCTCTTCTCTGGGTCCTGGGTGCAGTTCTCATGGACCAGAAGGAGTGGAGCTGTCGTCTTTCTGAAACAACTCCGTGGGGCTGGGCCTTTCATTGGGGACAGCTTGGTTCTCAGTTCAGGGAAGCACTAAGCATGGTGCTGGTCACCAGACAGCATTGTCGGCCCTGTTGGTAAGCATTGTGCATCCTAAGACCTGAAGCGCCTGTGTCGATTGTCAGCCCTTGCATGACTGGACCTGTTGATGACCCATCTGCCTTTCCTGTCTCTACATCTGCTACAAAAGGAACATCAAATTCCTGCCACCTCTAATACTGAGGTTGCATACGTACTATCGATCGTATTTGTATACTTAACATGAAGCTTTTTTTATTAGATGATAAACTCATTCCTAGTGAAATAAAATGCCAGAGGAAATTGCCACACACCAGCCAAAGCTCAAATTAAAATGAATCCCATCTGTGAGGGGCAGGGGAAATCTTGCTGAGAGAATGTAATTTAGATCCAGAAAGAATTCCAGCTGGCTAGAAATCTCCATTGCAAAACGCAGGCAACATGAACCATTCGTCTGCGGAGATGTCACCGTGCACAGCAGAGGGTAGATGGAGTGGTAACAGCTGTGAGACAGTCTACACAGGACTCGCATCTCCAGATAGCATCAACATTAATAATCAATTCATCATGACTTTCCGACAGTGTTGTCCAGTTGGAGAAGTGGGTGTGTTCTTGGTCTGGCTGTATCCAGCTGTTACCAGTTTTACATTTGTGAGTGGAAAAAAAAAAAAAAATTCTAATGGTCGGATCAGAAAGGACTTGAAAGACCTGGACCCTTTAATTAACAGAAAACAGCCCTTTTTTTCTCATCAGATGTTAGTTGCCATCAAGGCAGCTCCGACTCAGGTCAACCTTACGTGTAACAGAAGGAAACGCTGCCCCGTCCTGCACCATTCTCCAGTTTGCTGTTGTGTCCTTCCATCTTGTGGAGTGTTTCCCTCGTTTTCACTGACCCTCTACTCTACAAAACATGGTGTCTTGTTCTAGTGGCTCATCAGAGAAGCCGATAGAATTCCGTTTCTTTATCTCATGGGCACACATGCAGTCGCTGCTGTTTGAATGAAAAGCGAAAAGGTCAGCGGTGGATGCTGTTATCTCCCCTCTTTAAAAGCACTCATTTCCTCTGACTGCCCTCTGCTCTGAAAGCTGACTGTCAGCCTCCCCGGGGCCTGAAGTTTGGCCCTCAGAAGTGAGTGCAGCTGCCGCAGAAAGGAACTGTGAGGGAAAGGCATGTGGCTTTCATTTAGCAAGGCTAGAATTTAGCAGTAATTTTGCAAACATTCATCAGTGCAATCTAGTCCTTTTAACCCTGATGAAGCAGCAGTGTTCTCTACCTAGCTCCCAATCAGACACCGTTTGTGTTTGTTCTGGAAGCAAGTGTGGATTTTAAATTTGCAGTTCCTACAGAAGTATATCCCTCGTGAATTTGGGAGACCCTCTCAAGAAC